CTTGAGGTAGGATCTCCGTGGACTATGCCTGATAATATAAAATTCCTGCTTGTGTCATGCACTGATTGCTCCAAGACTGTTCATATTTGCTTATATTTCCATTGTCTGTTAAAACAAAATTTTGGATCATGATATGAACTACAAATACACTTTCCACACTTTTCAGCATCCATTTAAACTTTTCAAATCCACAAAATCAGATTATTGCTAGTTCTTCATCAACATGAAACAAAGCTAAACCTAAAATGAAAAGTTTTGAAAAGTTTTGTGGATATGAACAGTCTTGTTTAACTGGTTACTGTCTCCAAGGTTTTTGGTACACTTAGCAACACTTTGACTGGGTCATAATATAGCATAAGTTCATGAGGCCAAGGACCAATAGGTACTTCTCAAAGCATCCAGCACTTAATGATAGGATGGGAATTTTATAGAGGTACTCCTGTTAATTCCTTGGTGGTCCTTTCATATAATCTAAATCTTGGTTTGTGAATTGAAATGATCTTACTATAGACTCTTGGAGGCTTGTGTGAATTAAATAGATCATTGTAGGTTTGAGAATCAAGCCAATAAAAGAATCTCTCTCTTCTCTTTCATCATTCCTCTCCTTATCATATCTATCTATCTATCTATCTATCATCTATCTATCTATCTATCTATCTATCTATCTATCTATCTATCTATCTATCTATCTATCTATCTATCATCATCATCCATCCATTCAGCTAGCTATCATCTATCTGCCCATCCATCTAGCTTTCTAGCTATCTAATCTAATCTATAATCTATCATCAGCTCTCTTTCTCTTTCCTGCTCTCCCTCTATCTCTATAGGTTCCCCTAGAATGGCACATGGCCAGGGTCTCTGTGAAAATCCCTTTCTCTAAAAAAATCTCATGCTACCATTCAGATAGAGTGGGTAGGTGGTTTCTGGTCCCTTCTCCCAAATAGTGTCATCTCATGGGAGCTAGGAATTTTGCCTTTTCTATGGCAGCACTCTATATCCTGAAGTTTGACAGGCCTCCATCTTTTAGCCATAAGACCTGGCTTTTTCCCAAGCATTGGAAGTAGATTAACTCCCAATGATAGATTGCTAAAGTGGATTGGTGTCAGGTTTTTGTTGTTTTAATGTTTTAACTGGGTTACAGTTTTTAAAATGATTTATATGTCTTTAAATTTTTGATTGGGAGCCACCCAGAGTCAGATGAGCAGCTACATAATTGTTTTAAATAAAAAATAAATAAATCATCTCCTCTTCTTCTATGACTATAACAAACAGCGTGAGCTGAGAAATGTATTCTTTCTGGAGCAGAAATATTTCTGAATTAAAACAATATTTTATTTTGCAGATTTTAGTGAATCAGCTATGAAAGCTTTGGAAAAGATAAGAGTATTCAGATTTTATGTTGTGTCAGATCAGAATAGTGCAAGCAATTGGTATTCCCTGTGACACTCAGCAGAAGCAAAAGTTGAAATAGTATAGAAAGATTATTGATCCTTGAGCACTTTGGTATTGGGAGAAGACTCATGAGAATATTGTGGGGAGCTGGGAAAAACAAAGGAATCATCAAATAAATCAATTCTGAGGCACAAATGACCAGGCTCAAATCATCATAATTCAGACAATTCATCCAAAGACCTAGTTCTTGGAGAAGACTCTAGAGCAGGGGTGTCAAACACAAGGCCCGCGGGCCAAATCCGGCCCGCCAGACCTCGTCTGATGGCCCGCGGTGCCGCCGCCAGCCTTGCAGCCTCCCCCTTTTTTTTTCAATGAATTTACTCCGTGCCTGCACGGAGTAAATTCATTTTAAAAATGGCTCAAGTTAAAAAAAAAAAAATTTACTTACCTTCCGGGACCTGGCCCGACTTCTTCCTGCCCCGCACTGCTCCCTGGGTGTCGGACGTGACGTCATCACGTGACGTCCGCCCAACATCTCCAGGGATCAGAGGAGCGCGCGGACGCCGCGGAGAGGAGCAAGAAGAAAGAAGTAAAAGAAAGAAAGAAGTAAAAGGTAAGTAAAGTAAATGGAGTGGGCAGATGGCTGGGCACTATAAAAGGGGGCAGTCCAACAGCAGCCTGAAAGCGAAGTTCCAGGATGCGACAGTCGACGACTTTTACCGTCTCCTCCCCCCTGCTTTGATGCCACAGCTCCGACTTCAAGCTGCACGTGTTCTGTCCATGTTTGGGAGCACTTATCTATGTGAACAGATGTTTTCAGTCATGAATCTGAACAAGACCAAGCTCAGATCACGCATCACTGATGATAACCTCCATGCTGTTTTGCGGATTGCTACAGCACAAGACCTAACGCCAAACATCGATGGACTGACCTTAGGAAAACGATGTCAGCCATCTAGTCAGTAAAGTTAAAAAAAAGGTAATGCCTTGTGTTTTCCATATGTTTAATAAACAGTGTTTGGCAATATTTGTATGTTTAAAAAAAAATTAATGTTTGTTACCAAAAAACATTTTTCAATACATTGTACAATAATTGTACATTTGAATATCTACTTGTCATTATTCTGACTATGTTTCTGCTTTCAGAGCTAGTTATTACTTACATTATTACAAAAAACAGTAATAATTGAATGCAGTGACATTAATTTATGATAATAAAGAGTGGACACATAGACCTACAGATACAACCGGCCCTTTGATGGGGACCAAACTGCTGATGCGGCCCCCGATGAATTTGAGTTTGACACCCCTGCTCTAGAGCTAGGAAAGGTGGAGGGAAAGCAAAGAAGATTATGACCAGGAGCAAGGAATGTGAACTCAATTAGAAATGGCAATTGATGCACTGCTGGAAGGTATGAAGAGATCAAGTTCTTCAACTAGTCATGGAGAAAATCTATCTATGCGACTGCTAAAAGTTGACATTAATTTGATAGTCATTTGATAATCAATTTGGGATGAGGGAAGCATAATCAGCTTCCCTCACCCCAAAAGGAGAAACTAAGTGTGCAGTGTCACTATTTGACATCTTTTACATCAAGGATTCAACCCAGCTGAAAACAAAGAAAAAGACTTATGGCCACCAAAGAACCAAAAACATGAAATTATGTTATGATCCCTGATTTAAAAATACAGTAATAAAGTTTGTGCGATTTGGTTGTAGCAGCTAAAATAATCATTGCCCAACATTTTAATTCTAAGAAATGGAACAATTAAAATGTAGATTAACAAGGCCTTTTCAATTGGCATATTAGAAAAAAAATTACAGTTATAATAATACTGTAAGTCACCAGAATTCTATCATAAAAAGTATATGGCTTATGTCAACAGCAATAGATTATAATATAATATTGTATACATATACAAATTGCATATTGTACACATATACATACAGACACACACACACACACATATTACAATTTGTACTTGTACAGTACCTGTCTCTTTACTGTACTTACAATCTTCTGTAATTTCCATATCTTTTTTACCTTGGATTTATGTTATTTTGGTTATTTGATAATGTAGTTAATCATACTTCAAAAAACAGGAATATTAAGAATGGATTGGTATTATGATTGTATTATATGGGAGACATTTATCTTTTCTCAACTAAAAACAGATGCCTTTTATGTTTAATAGGTATGTAGGGGCTGATCAGTATTTAATATATTTATCATTCTTAAATAGTGCTAAATCATTAAGGGGTTGAAATATTTGTTGTTGTTTTGTCTGTGTGCACAAAACTACTCTATAAATAACTTTCATTCCAACAAAACAAGGGCTACTTTCCATTTAAAAAAAATCTTGATGGCTCCATTAAGATTTCAAGATTATTACAAATTCCTTAAAGCAATGGCAAAATGCTGTGATTTTCTAGATCATATATATATTATAAAAATGCTGAAAATCTTGCTTTTACAATTATCAAACAAGAGAATTGAATTGGCCCCCATTGGTGTAGAGAAAATCAACAGTAAACAGGTACTGTTATTGTTGTAATATGCACCATTCTCCAAAATGTGGATGTATGATGAGGAACAACATATTCATGAAAAATCAGCATGGATATCTGAAGTTATGGTTGCACAAAGAATGTTGTGCAGCGCATCCATCAGTATTTATTTAGCTTCAATACCAACTAGACTAATTGGAATCTGCTTCTCTAGATAGTCATGGTTGCTGCTACTTTTTCTGATTTTTGTTGCTACCTGTATTGCTCTTTCCTTTCCTTCCCCCCCCCTCTCTATAGGTCCAATTTAGAACTGATGAGAAGCTCTTCTTCCCATATATCTCAACCAGTTTCTTCATCTAAGTTTTTCTTTTGAACCTGGTTCAATAACAGTAACAAGACTGAGAGTAGCACTTATCAGATCAGAATGGGAGGACAATGTAAATAGAAGTTGCGCTCCACTAAAAACAAAGGTTCAAGTCAGGTAGCTTAGCCAACATTGTGTACATATTTGTGTCAAAAGCATCCAATATGTAGATATAACTCTAGCAGAAAATTACACATATGCTATTCTTCTGTTTGAGCCTATTTCTCTGACAAATATTCAATAGGGTAATTATGCCCTCATCTGCAATCATTTGTCTTTGGTGAGCCATCCTTTTTTAGTCCAATGCAGCAAACTTTGGAACTAGTTTGATGGCATGTATCTAATATTGTTATATCCTATTGCTTAAATAAAAAGCTTACTAAGCATGGGAACCTTAATGGATTTAAAATGCCAATTTATCATTATATTAATCATGTGTTTTCCAAGTTCTTTCATTAGATCTTCAAGATAAGGAACCCAGGTTGAACTAATTGTGCAATGCTCAACCCACTAAAGTATCTATATGTTATTGTATATCATACATATCTTTTGGCAAATCATTTAAAAATAAGAATATCACTTTTAAATCTTTTAACATTAATTAAATAATTAAACAGTTAAGAATTAAAATGGAATGGAGTATTTTTTTATATACCCTCATTGGATTGTTCAGCTTATCTTCACCCTGAAGTTATCAATAGAAAAGCTACTATGAAAAAAATGTGGAAAATATTTTTATTATAAAACACAGTATACTGATCTTAATATTACATACAATACAGTAAAATATCAGAGTCTTGTAAAGACCAATAATTTATGTACTGAGACACCTGTCACTGATATTCTTCTAGTCTCATAGTCTGAAAAACACACATAAACAAATATAAAATAAAAGGATGTCAACTAGGAATTCTGTTGCTGAGTTCTATTTTTACTTTTACAGTAATTATTGTTTTGCCATGCTGAAATAAAATCAGAGGGTTATTACTCAGTTATTGCTAATTGAAAGATTCAAAAGAACTGCAAAAGAGAAAGTGGGAACATTTTGAAGTTGCTGAATTCTCATCATTCCTGATTTCTGACCATGGTTCCTAGCATAGGAATCTTCAGGGCGATAGGTGAGGTCACATTTATCACAACATCATTACACAAATTGTAACACTTAAGGACAAATTGCAATATGGCTTGTATCAAAAGCCCTTGCAACCTTGGGTTACTGAGCATCATAGTTTGACTTCTAGAGATTCATAGTTTTCTTAACCCTTGTGACAGAAGTATAGTTAGGACTAATTTTACAGCAAAGCTTGAAAACTAGATGTGGTAGGAAGAGATATAAAAGAATAGCTTGCAGCCAACAACTAGAAGGAAGCATTTTTTTTCCTGTGTCAACTTTTTTTTAAAGTAATACTGCTATGGTATGTCTTAAGGTGTTTGTTTGAAAACAGAATTTAAGATTAGCTGTGGTTAGAATAGAGTAGAAATGGGCTATGAAAAATTGTCAAAAATGTTTCCCATTTTAGCATTGTTTGTAAATATTGCATATTTACAATACATTCTAATTTGCTTCCTGTCCAATAATTAATGAGAATAAATAATTTTCAAATGGACACTAAATAATTGGATTAAATTTATAAGTGAAATTTAGGCCAAAACTATTTATTACTAGATTTGCAAGATTGTTGCTGGAAAAGGTCTTCTTGTCTTTCCTTTGTAACTTACTCCATCATGGCAACTGACTTTTGAATTTGTGCACCTACTTCACTGGCAGATAGTGACGTAATATGGGAGCAGGAAACTCAAAAATGATGCTCCCACATTCAAGGGTCAATTATATCAAGATGATGTATACTCATATTTACATATGAATATATTAATGTAAGGGAGAGAACTTGAAATTAGAAGAATACATAGCATGCCCTAAATCGGGTTAAGGATTAGTTTTAGGCTTTATGCATTGCACAAAAGAATTACAGTGGTGACCCCCATGAAATCCCCTTTAATAGAATCCAAACAAATTTGGCTTGCTTGCTAAATGGATGTAGGGTCCCTCCAAATCAAATTTCAAAGCTATATTCAAACACATCCATTTTACAGTGATCCCCACTGAATTTTGATTGTATACCCGCTTGCTCTAGTGTTAAATTCCAAGGCAGTTGGTGAGAATTTCCATTAACAGCATAGAGACTGTTCCTAAGCCTTCTCTAAAATAATACCTGTCTCAATTATACTTTGTTACTTTATTAATATTAACCTGCATGATTCACCATTTGTTTTCAGCTACTTTATTTACTATCATTGTTCACTTGACAAGGATTTTAGATATCTCTATATATTCAAAGATGTTTGCTAGAGTTTTAGAATATGTGTATATAGGTTGCTTTGGAATCACTGCCTAGTATATTTTTAGCAGTGCATTTATAGAAGCCGGCATCCCTTTGTGTAGCTTGCTGGATGATTAGGGAGCCCTGAGGATGAAGGTATTTGTTTCCATACAGACGAGACTGAGCTCCTGTGGTTAGATGCAGTTTCTCTGGCAGTTCCCAAGTTATGTCTGCTTTAGGAATTCCAATGGCCATACAATTCAGCTTCACTGTATTCCCTGGCCTTGCATAAATGACAGGTGCTGGTTCACTTGTGATCCGGGGTGGATAGGCAATCACAATCACAGGAACATTCATAAGGGAAGAGCCATAATCCGTGGCTACCTTGCATAGGTAAGTCCCTCTATCAAACACAGAGGCCTCACGTACAATGAGGGAGCCATTCTCAAGCAGGGAGAATCGTCCAATAGCTTGGGGACTATCTAACACCATTCCATTAGGCAGAGTCCAGGCTACACGAGCTTGCTGACCAGGTTGGGTGCCACAGTGAAGCTGCAATGTCTCTCCATTGATGATGCTTACTAGGTTGTTATAATGTTTGCTGATTTCTGGTTTCACTCCCACTTTGAGGAAGACCACCCTCTCTACATAGCCCCCTGGGTTTCTGGCAGTGCAACGGTAAGTCCCAGCATCTGCTGCAGACAGAGCACTGATGTGTAGTATCCCATCTCTTTTGTGATAAAATCTCTGCAGATGACTGCTTTTCATCAGTTCAGTACCATTGGGAAGGATCCAGGCAGTTCTGGGTGATGGGGTCCCATGGACTGAGCAATTTAGATTGATGCTGTGACCTGCAGTGGCTGTAATCCTTTCAGTAACAGGATCCCCAAAGAAGGGTTTTTCTACCTGATCCACAACCTGAAGCTGCACAACTAGGCGGGCCTCTCCCCCTTCATTTCTGCCAATACACACCAGCTGCACAGCATCTGTGTGCCTTACCCCACGAATATCCAGTGTCCCATTGCGATGTACAGTGATTCGGTTGCCATAATAGGGGGCTGGGAGGATCACTCCTTCTGGGAAAGCCCACATGACCCGGGGAGATGGGATGCCTTCTGCATTACAGTCAATAAGTTTCCGGCTGTCTTTTACAGCCATTTCTCTGACTGAGGTGCTGGTGCTGGGGTGACCATTTATTTTAGGGGGTTGAACATTGACATGGATCCAAACAATTTTGCGGTCCTCTCCAGCACTATTGCGGGCTACACATGTATAGTTGCCACTGTCAGATCTTTGGGCTTTTTGTATGAGAAGTGTCCCATCTATGTACACTTGATATTTATCTGATAAGGTTGGAATTGGTCTATTGCTTGGGGATAACCAGAATACCTTTGGAGTAGGCTCCCCTTTTGCTTTGCATCCTACAGATACTGCATCACCATATGGGATGTTGAGAATTACATAGGTTTTATTCCTAATTGTGGCAGGTTCAGCTACTACTTTAACCCGCACTTTCATCTCATCTTTACCAATCTGGTTCTCAGCATAACAGGTGTAGTCTCCTTCTTCTCTCAGCCCTACTTCATTGAAATATAATGTTCCATTGTTGAATACCACATATCTCTTTGCTCGGCTTCCACTGTCATCTGATTGCATGAAGGTGTTAACCATACTTCCATCTGGAAGACTCCAGGAGATCTCAGGGTTTGGTAGACCTGTGGCAACACAATCAACTTTTAGATCTCCTCCATATATCACTTTGTGATTATTCTCATTCTTGTGTTCGATTTTGGCAGGTTTCATCATCACATTTACTTTGAGGACCACATAATCATCTCCAATCTTGTTGCGGGCCATACACAGGTAGTCTCCTGCATCCTTGTCAGTGACAGAGTAGATAACCAGAGTTCCATTGCCAAGTACCTTGATTCTGCTGTCCAAACTGTTTTAAAGATGAAAAAAGGAAGGAGAATATGTTTATTAAATGATCATCTGTTGAGCTATCAACAAACAAAAATAATTATGCAATAGTGGTGAATATCTATAGCTCAGGTGAAGGTTCATTCTCCAAGCTTGATACGGAACAAGACAAGATACAGAAGAATGAAAGAAACAATGTAATTTACAAAACCATCCGTAACAATTGCAATCAATTCTACATGGGACAAACATCATGTTAATAAAAAACCAGGATCCACGAACATCAGCGGGCAGTCAAATGCCGTGATCTTAAACCCCTATTCTCTACTCACGCTGATACCAAACAGCACCAATTTGATTGAAGCAACACAAAAATAATTGGTCACACTACCACGTGCCACACTCATGAGTTCATTGAAGCCTGGCACTCTACAAACAATTCCATCAACAGACCCATTGACCTAAAACCAGCCTACAAACCCCTCAAAATCAAAATCCAACCAACCCATGCAATCCCGTCCACAAGCACTCCACTGTCCAATGACCCTCACCTGATATAACCTCCCCATTACAAGACCCATCACAAGGGTCTCACTGGTGACTCACACCTAACCCGTCACAAGATCCACCATAAGATACTTTCTTGACACACCCACACTGACCCATCATAAGACCCATCACAATGGGACCCGATGGGACCCTCACCTGATGTGACCTCACCATCACAAGACTTACTGATCACACAAAGCCCTTATAAGCAGAAGGACAATGACACTGGCATCTCCTAAACTCTGCTGGAGATGTTACTAGCCTGGTAAGGAAATGTTCAAAAATCAACCCACAAGCTTGAAGAACAAACCTTCACCCTCAAAAATAATTATCTTCATTTTCAGGCCAACAATCCCATACTGAAACTGATTTAATTTTAATAAAAGGATGTTTTTATTTACTTCCAATTTCCCTTTTGAAGACTGTGGTTTTATTTATAAACTGAATCCTGCATGTAGACATGAAAAAATATATCTGATTTTATATGTTCTGTGGTATGTGGGTAAAAGAGAGTTAACAAAATGGACTTAAAGTTATTTCCATTCAATTCAAACTCCGTAAGAATAAAAAAATAATAGGAATTTAAGACATACCCAATGATCATCAATGACATTTATATTCTACCTTCATTATTTTTTAAAATAAATAACTAAAGGTGATAAACAGGACCTGCCTAATGCTCCTTCCTCCTCCTATTTTCCCCACAACAATTATGTGAGGTAGGTTGGGCTGAGAGAAAGTGACTGGCCCAAAATGACCCAGTTGGCTTTCATATCTAAGGCAGGACTAGAATTCACAGTCTCCTGGTTTCTAAACTGGTGCCTTAACTACTAGACTAAGCTGGTTTTTCTTGGTCTTTCAAGGTCAAATCAAACAAGAGAGGAAGGATTACTTGGGACCAGTAAAGAGATTAGATTTCATTGAATACATGCTTGCTCCTTTCTTGTAATATTTTCATTAAATATACTATGGCAAAATATGTTAAATATTTTAATAATCCTTTTTGGCATGCCAGAAGTCTCTCAAGACATGGATTTGTTATCGGGCTTCCAGGGAACTAGAAACATGCTTAAATGGCTCAAGTATTGAGGTCACAATTTTTATCTTCTCTGTGCCTAGGCTTTGTACATTTGTTTTTCTAATATTTATCTTTTAATGTGAATTTTATTTATTTTATATTTGCTGTTTTTATATTTTTGTTTTCTTTAATTGTGAGATGGAAGGCTCAATATGATAAATAAATAAATACATAAAACTAGCATTGGATCATGCTTTCAGTATTTTGTGATAGTTATCAAGTCATAACTACCAAAGCTTTAGTGTAGAATGCAGTTTTAGGTCTCAGCTGAGTATTCTTGAGACTCAAAGCTGTGAAAATAGGGCATTTAATTATTACTCATTCATCTGTAGCTGGTATTTTAGATGATACTTTTATACTTTCTCCCCATGATTTTTTATAATTAATTTCCTTTCTATCATTCCTAGTTTGCCATAGAGTAGCCTATTCAGTATAGGTTCTGCCCTTTTCATAACGCAATGGGTAATTAAAGCCCATCAATCTTCCCATGCTAAAGTGTTAATCTATGTAGGAATGTGTAGATTGAGCTAGAGAATAGGGTTATCATGTTTGGGCTGACAAAAATAGCAGTAACGAATTGAACGACAGCAATAAAGTATAGAAAATTAATAACTTGGTTCCCTTACAGTGGCTATGCAGATTTGTGCAACCAAGATGTGATAATTTTAAAATGAACTCATATTACATAAAAGAAGAAATATTATTTCTATGCAGGGAACATTAAATTCCCTCTGCAATGTAAATTACAAGGATTACTTATGTGAAATGATACTCAGAGTACCACCATTTCAGTCAAATATATCATCCTCAAAAAGTATCTGAGCATTTATTATCCAAGTTTGACAGATACACACACAGAGTGAGGGAGGGAGGGAGGGAGGGAGGGAGGGAGGGAGGGAGAGAGAGAGAGAGAGAGAGAGAGAGAGAGAGAGAGAGAGAGAGAGAGAGAGAGAGAGAGTTGATACTTGTAATGGGGAATTTATGACATGCCTTAATATAAGGGTACCCTATCACTATTTCTCCAATTCCTGCTAAGTGATTTTTGAGATTATTTGACTGAAGTACTAACTCATGTATTGGACACTCCTTCACTAATTTTAACAGAGTGCCATGTGATACTAAAGCAAAAAACTGATCCACACTGTATCTACTGTACATCTTTAGACTACGCACGTGTTACAAATATTATAAGAAACATTGCCAGACAACTGCAAAGGGGACTGTTAATCTACTCATGCTTTGGTATTAGCTTTTCAAAGGTATGCTGCAGCTTTCCTTGGCCCATCATGAAAGACTTGAGGCTAGGAAGTGAAATCTGTGACCTTTTCCATATTAAGCATGTACTCCACCAGAAAGTGCAGTCTGCAGCAAATGGAACAAGTTATGATTCCATCATAAACTGGAATATGGAATTAGAAAGTGACCTCACTGCTGCAGTTGGAAAATGATTCTCTGCTAAGAAGTAAAGATGTCCAATTCTCCCTGTCTTACTCCCCATTCAAACATCAGCAAAGCATAGTTTTAGCTTTATCAACTCATCCAAGATACATAAAGCATTGCAAAGGCTGAAACTGTAACCTAGTTCCTGCCTCAGTATATTTGTCTCTTACGGTCAAGTTCAGCTATCGACTGACCTGGCTTATTTCTGAAAATACATATATAAAATCAACTAATCCACAAAAGTTGCAATGTTACACGAAAGAGAAATACAATGGTATGAAAATTATAATACATTTGCTGATTAGTTCATATTCAGAAACTATGATATATATATATATAGCTAGATTCTAATGCATCTTTGCATACTCAGATATAAACTAATAATTTATAATCATGGAACCTAAAACAGATGTGCAATTTTTGGGAACCTAGGACCAGATTTCAAATGGCCACATTACAAATGAGGTAATTTGAATTAATTTAAGTAATCAATATATTTATCTTCCAGAAATTTGGGAGCAACTTCTGTAAGGACTTTGAAAGTCTTACCCCCATAGTTTAGGAAGCCATAGATAATCATGGATCCAAAGTCCATGCATCCCTGGCTTAATGTAGATATTACTGCAAGTAATGAAAGGATGATGTTGATTTAAAGAATCATTACCTATAAAATCAAAATACAACAAATTACAGCTAGAATACCAAAATAAATCTTTACCTCTGTAGAGAATCCACCATTCTTTTTGAAGGAAGCCTCCAGAGGATCCATGGCCAAGGATCCCCAGAGGCACTGCAATTCAGTCGCAGGGTGCTACCATAGGTTACATCTGTTCTCTGGGGTGAGCTTCCTGTGATCTTGGCATTTGTTGACTGCTTTTTGACCTGCAACTGCACAGTTCTCCTGACTGCTCCAACCATATTTGCTGCAATGCATTCATAGCTCCCACTGTCTTTGGGCAACACGTGACGTATATAAAGGGTTCCATTTGGAAAAACAAACAGATTACCATGGACAAATTGAGAGGGCCGAATCTGAGTCCCGTCAAAAAGTACCCAACGGATACCAGGGGTAGGGGCTGCTTTTGCACTACAGTGAATGTTAATGCTTTGCCCCACATTGAGGGAAAAGTTTTCTTCTTTTTCTTGCTCAATAATTGGAGGCAAGGCAGCTATGTGAAGTCTCACAGCAATACTGTCAGCTCCTGCAGCATTGCTGGCTATGCATTTGTAAATTCCCCGATCTTGAAAGTTAGCGTCTTTCAGGAGCAAGGTTCGGTTCTCATATAGCATAACCCTTCCCTCCACAGTACTCACAGTTTGAAGTATTTTACGATTAGGAAAAATCCAAGAAATGTGTGGGTTTGGGATTCCAGTGGCTTGGCAATCCATAGTCACTTTTTCTCCAAAATAAACAGTCAAATCCTTAAAGCGAGAACCTAGCATTTTGGGCTGTTGGGCTATGACAGTCAACAGGACAATCATTTTATCAATGCCATGAGAGTTCTCAGCAGCACACAGATACTGTCCACGGTCCTGAAGCTGAACACTGTGAATAAAGAGTGTGCCATTTTTCAAGACGTCAAAACGTTGCATCTTTGTTTGGGCTGTCATCGTGGCTCCTAAAGTATCAGAGTAGGAAAATGAAACACAAATTGTTGTTTCAACATTTTCTAAAATGCCTAGAAATGCACTGCAATACTCCAGTAAAATCTAAGATGCAGTAAAATGTAAGTACCAAATCTAACTATTTGCTTCAATCAGTCAATAAAAATTAGTGATTTTAAATTTTAAAAGGTGTCCTTTTAAATTTTAAAGGGTGTCCTTTTTATATTAAAAGAAGCATCACACCCTATAACATATATTAGAGCATTCTTCAGATATTTTAAACCCCTGATCCTATGCTCTTAGCCAGATTGACTGGAATTAACATGTCTATGGAACCAATTTATTGATTTAACCCATTCAATATAGTTTCAATGAATTTCACAATAAAAATGGGGATGCCTATCAAGATATAATTCTTTATTTTGCATCAATAATGCACACCAAAGTGCAAATATGCATGATGCAACAATCTATTTTACTGATTGAACAACTTTATAAATGTATTGCACCTCTGAAATCATCAAAAGAAGCAAAAATACACGATTAGGTTAAATAAGCATGCATAAAAGCATTCAACGTGAATGATTTTATATCCAACTGCTGTTGAAATGAGAGGATGAAAAAGGTTACCTGTAGAGATTTTTGTCCAAGAAAGGAGAGGCTTGGGTTCTCCTGTGGCATCACATGGGATAGCAACATCTGACTCAGCAAGAGCGGAAAGAATGGTAGACATTTTAGTGATAATTTTAGGTTTTTCTCCTTGTGGTGTTAAAGGCACAGGAGACTGAATGAAGCTTGAGTTGAAAACCTTAATTCTATCCAATTTAGGCACAAATAAGACATTTGGATTATTATAATAGATACCACTGGAAGACTGCAAGGTTGAACTCACTTGAGATTTTATTTTTGGAGTAGTGAAGGTAGGAATTATTGTCCCAGATGCTGGTACAGTATCCAAGGATATAGAAGGTACTGGGATAGTGGTGGCTTTTAAAGAAGTGCTATGCATTATCTTCTTGGTAACAGAGAGAAATGTTTTCTCAGTTGTGCTTACTGGGACTGGTAGATTAGATACCAGTGGTTTAGAGTTCACACCCAAGTGCTGAAATATCCTGGTTCTGTTGATCAGAAATGGTGTTCTAGCATTGTGCAAATATGGTATAACATGATTGATTGTTCTTCCAGGCTTATCTCTACTTTCAGGAAGAAAGTTGTTGACAAAAACTTTGGAGTGAATATTTTGTCTGATTTCATCTTGGTTGTCAGATTTGCCTAAAATAGGCATTTTAGGTCTATATAATGGAGCAGGTGTGGGGGTAGGGAAGGTCGAAGAGGTTTTTCTCTCTTGTGTGGTATAGGCTGCATATGCTGTTATCTCTGGTTTATTGGTATAATGAAGGGGCACTTGGTGAGTTATAAAATGATGAAAAAATCCTGGTGCAATGAGATATGGAGGTTTCACAGTCCCCCTCACAGGAATGTACTTTGGAAATGAAAAACCTGGTTTTTTTCCAACTGGTTGATTTGGAATATTTGGATTTAATGAAAAGCTGCTGTGTGGTCTGCTACTACCTTGTTTTTGTTGAGTGGTGGAAAGTTCATTCTGTCTTGAGCTATATCTGGCTCTTATACTATCAACACTGGGTATCTTCCTATCTGGATATGTTAATTTAACAGATGTGTGATTTTCCTTTGTTGAAGAGTTATATGATAAATTAAGATTCATTGGTGTTAATGGGGGAGGAGGAGTGAGCATTGAACTGGATACAACTGAGGGATGTTTTTTTTCAGTTCTATATATTGCAATCTCATCTTCATGATTATGGATCTGGCTAGTAATTTCTTTGGAGTGTCTCGAAGTTGGTAGAATGTGTGTTTTATTTTGCCAGAGATCAAGAATTTGATTCATTTCTGTAGGTATAGAAGTATGATCAGAGACTGAACTGTGGTGAGATAGAATCACTTTTTCAACTTTATGAAAAAACGGTTCCACTGTAGTCTTTAATATGTAATCTGAAAAGTTCCACAATTTTTCTAAAGATGGCAGAGTTTCAGGATGTTCTGTTTGGCTAACAGATAGATACTGTTGAATAGCAGTCTTTGACTGAGCTACCCTTGAGTCAATAACATTTGGGGAGTCTGATGAGAAAGAGTTAGCTTTTTCTTCAAGTTCTGGAATCACTGAAGAAGTAAGATCAAAAGATGATGTTGAGCTTTCTCCTAAAATGCTTGCTGTGGGTGTATTTGTTACTTCTAATATGGGTAACTTATTTTCTGTAGCTATTCTATACTCTGGATTGTGAGATAAATGCAGCTGCTTTGGAAGTGACCTAGTCATTGAATGATATGATGATGTCACTGTTTGACTTTTCTGATCCTTTATGACACTAGAAAGAGTTAATGGTGTCTTAGGTAATAAAGTAGGAAGTTGAACAGCTGAAGTTGCTGTTGCATCCTTGGATTTGTGTACAGTATTTATTAATGATGAAGAACTCAGTTTTTGTATTTCATCCTCTGGCTTCTGATATCCAGCCATAAAACCTGGCATGGCTTGAGTGGTATTGTCAAGTGTAGATATTTTTGGACCAAAAGTTATCTCTTCTACATTAAAAGCTGTAGGAGGAATTGGTTTTGGTCTTTTGAATCTATTTGTTCTCCGTCTCCCATATGGTCTTCTTCGTGAATGCTTACTGATCACTGGTTCAGGTGTACTTATTTTTCTTTCATATGCTGTTATTATGGTTGCTGTTGTTGGTTTGTTAGTAGTAGCAGATATCAGCATCCATTCATTCTTTTTCAGTGGATGAATAGTTCTTTCTATAGTAGAAGATTTTGGTTTTTCAAGATTTACATTTGTTAATATTAGATTTTTAGAATCTGTAAATGGATTAAAAGGAATTACTTGTTCATGTTCAATGTTGTCATATTTGTTAGTCATTTGAGCAGCAGATGCAACAATGGTAGCTGAGTTGTTGATTTCAGCATGTGTAAAAGTTATTGTGACATTACTTACATTACTCATAGATTTAGCTTGTAAATATTGTTTGTTAGTTTTAATCTTATGGCTTTTGGTAAGGATAGGATCTTTGACTGAAATTTCTGAATATGGATTAGGTGTGGCTTTCTCTCTATTGCTGACTATCATTAAAGTGCTCTGGGTATAAGGTACAATTTTTTTTGAGATCATATTTATTTCTCCATTAAAAATTCCTGTCCTTTTTGGTTCTACTTTTGATTGGTCTATGTTTGAATCGCTATGATCCCAAGGTTGTGTCTGTATAGTTGGAGAGAACTGGATTTCCTGTGCTACAGAAGTTGCCATGTGGAATGGATCTTCTGGCATTTTTGAGAATTTATGTTCCACACGCACTGCTGAAGAAAGTATTTGGTCTTGATTATAATTCTGCATGCTGATGACAGAGGGAATGGTGACTGAAAATAATTCTGCTTCATCCAAATGGGAAGTATCTGCTGAAGATTCTTCTCCATTGATTTCCACAGCACTCCTTGGTGGAAGACTGGAGATAGGTAGATGACTTCTTGTGGTCCATTGTGTAAAAGGAATCTCTGATGTGGTACTTAGAAGAGGAACATAAGTGGTTGTAAGTCTGGGAAGACTTTTTCTTCGCACTTTTGCCAAAATATTAGCCCAGTGCTGTGGATTAATTTGTTTGTTTGTCATATGAATTCTCCTCCTGGATTCAAATACTCTTCGACCCTCAGCAACATTAATCTCTTCAGTCCTATCAATGCCTTTCCATAATTTCATTTTACGTTTCCCATTTTTATTTGGTCTTACCTGAACCTGAAAAATGTCATCGCTCTTCTGTTTCAGTGATTGTTCATAGTTTTTGAGATGAAATTTCTTGCTTGGCATAATGTAAATCTCTTTATCACCTGATCCCTCATCATCTCCAATGACCTGCTCCCTTACTGAGGTTCTTGAACCAGGTTGCTTTTTAAATTTTATCCTTTTAGAAGACCTGTCAGAAACCATCTTATTTACTGTTACTTTAACAACAACTTCATCTGATCCTTGTTGATTGATGGCCACGCATCTGTAGTAACCACTGTCACCTACATGACTGTATGGAACTAACAAGGTGCCATTTTGTAGCAAATATCCACTAGAGGAGTTTGACAAATCATTAATCATTTGGCCGTTTGGAAGTATCCAGCTTAAATGAGCATCTGGTATAGCCACTGCACTACAGGGCAATAGGATGGAATCCCCCACATTTTTTTCAATTTTTGTTAGTTCAGACTCAACTTGCTGAATAGCTGTGGGTTGCACTAGAACTCTGTAGGCCACTGTGTCTACATCATCTCTCACTTGGGCAACACAGTGATATATCCCTGAATCAGCATAGGCCACTGACCTGATGATTAACTGGCCACTACTGAGAACAGAAAATCTTTTGCTTTCCATTTTGAATGGAGCTTTCAATTTTGTCCCATCTGGGAGAATCCACCTGATAGAAGGACTTTCTGATGCTTTGACATTACAGCTTAGCTGAGCATTTGAACCTTCTACTACACTTTGAGCAGCTCTTGTATGCTGGTCTTGCTCTATCATAACCCAGCTGCTTTTCTGTTGCTTGTTTTCATGAGGTTGAATAGTTTGAGAAACCTGGGAAGAAAAAGAGAGGACTACCATTTCTCCTGTGCTCTGGTGTCTGTTTAATTGGATGTGTACGAATGGCTGCATCACCCAGGCAGGCTCAGCAAAGATTCTGCCTTTCACACCTGTGTAATAGGGAGCATCATCATAATCAGAACCTTGCCTATAGTGATAGCTTAATTTAGATTCACGAGTGAGCACATATTCTCTTTTAAGTTTGACAGGCATTTCACTGTAATATGCAATAAGCTTCCACAACTTCTCGTAGTTTTCTCGGTTCATATTGCATTCCATATCCAGAGAAATAGTATCATTGACCACAATTTCATAAGGAGAGATCTGATTCCACTGGATTTTGGTAGAGTCTGTTGGTTTTTTAATTTCACATTTGAGGTCCACTGAGTTTTTGTGTTCATCAGTCAAGTTCAGAGTAATATTCCATGGAGGCCACTGAAATTCTTCTATTAGTAACTCAGAGATGTCATCTTCTTTTTCCTCATCATTTTCCTTGATGTTGATGTTCTGTTTTAAAGGAGACTGTATGATTGGCTTTTTGCAGGAAATGTCTTTCATATTTAGAATATCTTTCTTCTGGAATTGTTTAGGAAAAGTACATTTGGGACAAAGCTGACCATTCTCATAGGCTTTATCTTTTTTACACTTTAGGATACCTGAAAGACAAAAAGAAAAGGCATTTTGAATTCACAGGACTTTTGTTTGGCTTTCTCTGCTGCTCCATGTTTTAAATTATACTCTGAATTTAATCTGATTATTCTTTTTAATTGGTCTGAACTTATTTTAATTATTTTTCATCTAGTTTGTTCATGTTTTTTCAAGATAATGTTTATGCTATCTAAGTTAGCCATTAGATAATGTACATTTTTATAAATGTGTCATTTTATATTTATTCACTTATTTTCATAGTATCCAATAGAGCTCATTCGTTCATAAATAAGTTTATGTAATAAAATAAATCTAATTACATGTAATGTTATCACTATTATGCATTTTTATAGAAATACAGATACAATCAGACAATACTTAATTGAAAATATTATAAAGCTTTCTGTAAAATTTGAAATACCTTCATTTCTCTTGGGTTTTATCCTATGTTTCCTTATTCCCATTTGTAGCTATAATAAGTATATTGTAGACATTTACCTATATAACTGAGATCTCAGAAGGATCTTTTCTTGAGTTCTACTAGTCATCCCATAATCCCTTTAAGTTATTAATGGTGACTTTTAATGAGACTAATCTAGCAGGCATCCAAACATCCTTTGCTCTTTGTAACATCTGGCATATACTGGTTCCAAAACTGTTCAATGAAATGGATAATTTCTTCTAGTATTCCTGAAAAGTAGTCAAGGCAGATTACTACAGTGACCTCTTCAACAGTGGTGTTTGTACCATGCCATTCCCAGAAGTTTCTCCTAGTGTCATGTTATCAACATTACAGTACCATGCAAATATTTCCTATTTTAAAAAAAATAGGAAAGCAGAGCATACTTTAAAGAAGTGAAACACTTTTTTGTTTGTGTCAGAAACACCTACAAATTATACATATAATATTCAACACTGAGCAAAAAAATATAGGTATAAAGTAGATCATAGAAATATAACACGTGTAAAAAGTACATAGAATGAATAGGATTAAAACCAAATGACATTCGTCTGGTATCAGGTCACGTATACAGCATTTTCTTTGACCAGCATGATTAATCACTATTTTGCTGGTATGGAATTTTTTGCATTTTTTAAAATATTACATTATTATTGTTGTTGTTGTCATTATTGTTGCTGCTGCTGGTTTTAATTGTGTTTTATTATATTAATTACTTATGTATAGTTATGATGATATGCTCCCTAAGAAACCACGGATATGGGGCATTAAAATTTTATTTTTAATAGATAGATAGATAAACTCATAATTATTCAGAATAGATAGATAGATAGATAGATAGATAAACTCATAATTATTCAGACTATTCCATAATATTGGTATCTGACACAGCAAAGCCAAATAAAGTTATTTTTGTTGTTTCTTACATCACTTGGAAATCTCAGCTCATAAATGCAAAACTTCCCTTACAACCCCAGAGAGAATTTTATGAACAATTTTTAGTGGTTAAAAGACTCCTCTAATACCTACTTAAATGGTTACATTATGAGAAAGTTCAGTTTGTTCCATCCAACCTAATATTGTACAATATCAGAAATATATTAAGTGTGAAGATTCCCTGTTTTGCCTTCTTGACTGTAAATTGAACAATATGTTACCAATTTTGAGAAGAAATGCCATTGCCACTTGAAGTGTATTCATCTTAGTATTTTTATTCTTCATGTATTGGGAGAGAAGTGGTTTACATTTTTGTTCATTGAATAGCATGGTGAATTGTCAAAATTCTGATGGCATGGTGAATTGTGAAAATTATATTCTTTCTGATTTATCCTGTAATCTGTATTTAAAACATGATATGTTTTAAATACAGATTACAGGATAAATCAGAAAGGCTGGATTTATATATTACATGAAAACACCTCAAGAGAATTTAATATAGATTGTTATCAATTTATGACCAGAATCGTAATCAAAATATTGATTGTTCATTAAGTGATGTGTTACAAAGATTCTCTTACCTGCAGATTTCTCAGTCCATTCAAGGAACCATTTCAGCCTGCAGTCACAAGACCAGGGATTCCCATGAAGATAAATATTCTCTAGAAGAGACATCCTTTCAAAAATGCCCTTAGGCAATGTTCTAATGGCATTTTCAGATAAATAAAGATGCTTTATTGTTGACATCCTGAAGTAATCAAGAACTAAGAATGTTGAAAATGTGTTTGGATGAAGCTGTTGAAGCAGATTTCCTTCCAAGTGGAGAAGTTTGAGGGAAATTAATCCATTGAAAGCATTTGGATGGATGAATTCAATTCGGTTGTGGTCCAGGTGCAATCTCATCAAGTTGAAAAGCCCTTGAAGGGTTTGGCCAGTTATAACCTGCAGTTTGTTATAGCTTATTTTGAATACCTAAATGGACAAATAAATTAATGTTACTATCTTTATTGATATTTGAACTTTACAGAAAAAACATGTTTTTATACAGAGAGCAAATCTGTGCCCCTTCAGACTTAGCTAAATTACAATTCTCAATTTTTCATCAGTGGTACAGGATAACGTAATGGCTTAATCTAGAGAATCAGAATTAGGGGAATTTGAGTTAGATACATAAAAAATTATCCACAGGAAATTAAGTGTAAGACCTTATTCTGTTATGCCATATAAAATCTTAATAAGATGATTCAAGAATTTCTAGCTATAAAATAATTAAAATGAGTTAGGGTTATTGTACAACGTTTGAAATCAGTTGTATATTTATTGAAGTGTCATAAATCACTAGCATGTATGAGCAGGCACTTCTATTTATAATATCTTATAGACACAGATGGATTCTCTAATAACAAAATCACTGATCTCTCTATAGGCAGATTTTGGGTGCCTACTGGAACACACTTTAGTTCACTAATGCTTAGGAAATAGGCTCTAATTGTTGTTATTTATTTAGTAAATATTTCTGGCTTTACCTGTAGTGATGACAGATCTTTTAAAGCACCATTAGGTATATTTTGGATATCATTGCCATGAAGCATCAGCAGTTCAAGCTTTGAAAGTCCCGCAAATGAGTTTTCAGATACAGTTTGAATGCTGTTGAACCTGGATTAAAAAAAGAAATGGAGTTTTGTTTCATTATTCACCATTATTCTTTAACGAAAAGGTTTGTCATTATGAGTAACTTTGGTTTATCCATAAATTATAAAGTTAACAAACCATTTTAACAGTATTATTGTACCTACAACTGACATTTCAAAAATTGTTTTTAAATATCTTCTTTCCTTCCTTCCTTTTCTTTTCCATAAATTATAAATAAATTCCACTTGGAATTTAAATTCATGAAAAATGCCAATTAGAATAACATTCTCTGATAACGTTCTCCTTAAATGAATAAAAAAGTATGTAGATAACATTTAAAAATGGACACCTGCAAAATAAGTTCTGGAAGCAGAAAACCAAAACTAGTACCTGAATTGTTAAGATAATATAAATAACTATAACAGTAACTGGTAATATAAATCTGGTAGAATCAGTGCCAAGAACAGATTAACATAAACATCTGTATTTTACAAGAACTTCATTATATTATTGCAGCCTGCTTTTGAAATGTTAACAGAACATAGCATAGTTTCTAATTAAATAAAATCCACTTTCAATTGTTCAAAAGGCCAATTATATTTTTATGTTCTACATTTTCCCGAATATTAACAGCAGCACCAAAAATCAAAGATATACACCAAAGATACACCAAAAATCAAAGATAATTTTTGACCCACAGCCTAATTCAAAATTGCTTTTTAATAATATAGTATTAAATTATATTAATGGGTTTATTTATTTATTATATAATAAATTATTGAAAACTTAAAGTTTAGCAACTAAAATGCAACATTAAATGAGCTTTAATTTTCAAAGCATCACCCAGATCAACAAATGCTCTTCTATTTTGAAAGTGACTCGCATTGTATTTGGTTGTTGTGATAGGAAAAAACAGATGTCTGGATTAAAGGAAATAAGGATTTTAGGGATTGTACATCAGGTATTCCTCTACATAGTATTTAGTTTGACCTATGTCAACAAAAGCTGCATCTGTGCTTGGCAAGGGAGAAAGTAGATATATTTGCTCCAGCTGCTGATATGACCTCTTTCTTCTCAAAATGCTGGAAAATATCAGTACTGACAATATGCAGATTACATGCTATCATCAGGTAACTGGAAGCAAAAAATGAAGAATCTGCACAGTATATATTTCATTTATTTCAAACAGCATCTGTCAAACATCATTCAAGCTATAGACTTCTTTCTCACTTTGAGGTACTTAGAAGATAGAATGCACTATGAAACTAAAGTCACAGGAATAAGAAAAAAGAATTTAAAGATTTAGTGCTATGGTCTAATGTTATTCTAATGTTTCAATCAGCTTTAAATTAAAATATGAAAACGTTTTCAATACATCAGTAATATTTTTTCCTAGAACATGACATAGTGGGCATAATGGCAATAAAGGAATATATATATAATTTTGTGTTTTGAGGCTATTGTTACAATATGGCAATATGAAAATACAACTCCTAGAACATCTCCTTTATGGTCATGATGTCTGGAACACCTTCTGACTGCAATATCTGAATTAGAGAATTCCCCACCCCTACAATATTGCATAAGCTAGGGTAAGGTCAGAATCCAAATAAAAGCAAAATATATTAACCAGTTGCAGAGTTTTATATGCAAAATGTGTACTGTTGAAATAAAGCTCTTCATGATTTAGGAAGAAATACAAGGGGCCCAAGAAGACAGATTTATTTATGTATTTATTGCCTTTATTATTTTTATAAATAAGTCAAGGTGGTAAATAAACTACCGTATATACTCGAGTATAAGCCGAGTTTTTCAGCCCATTTTTTGTGCTGAAAAAATCCCCCTCGGCTTATACTCGAGTCAGATTCCCCTCTGAAAAAAAAATGGTGTGGAGCTTTGCTGCTGCTTCGTCCGGGGTCTCTGGGCAAACACGTCCACCCGAGCGGGGCTTGTCGCCTCCGGCACGCAATGAGCGCTGCCCTCGGATTCCCTGTCCGGTTGCCCCCCTTTTGAGGGCGAAGGCAGTAAACTGTTCCTGTAGCAGCGGCTGCTCCGCTGACATCTGCGGGCAGACAGGCGAACGCGGGACCTTCTCCTCCAAGGGCGCCCGGCGCCTTTCTACCCACCCCCGGCCCATCTCTTTCAAGCGGCGGCGACTGCGGGGCGGGGGTCGTCCTGCGGGGACACCAGTGGGCGCGGAAAGAGGGGCGGGTGGGAGAAGCTCCTCTCCCTGCCCCGCCCTGGGGGGGGCTTCCCCTTCTCCCGGTACAGGGAGCTCCACGGCACTGGGCGGGCGCCAAAGACGACGCTCGGGGCTCGGTCGGAACCGTCCGGCGCGCCCGATCTGATGCTAGCGCAGCGGCTGCGCGCAGCTTCGCTCCAGCGGCGGCCTTCCAAGCCGTGGCCTTTCCCTTCCCGAGGCGACGCGGGACTGGGGCCGCTCCGGCGGCAGCGACTCCCAACAGCCCCAGCGGGAAGGGAAAGGCAGGCGGCGGCGACTCCCAACAGCCCCAGCTGGGAAGGGAAAGGCAGGCGGCGGCGACTCCCAACAGCCCCAGCCGGG